ATTAAAAATATTAATTTTGATATAGGTTATTTATTTAAATAAAAAAAGTCTTAAAAAAAAAATTATATATAGTTGAATCCTGATTTACTGTATTTCGATTATCCGTGATCCCAATTAACCGTGCTCAGTCTTCCAAAATTATCGTCACTCGAAATTGTTCGTCTAAAAATTTTAATAGGTCGGACGAACATATTTTTATATTATGTACAATTATCGAAAAATGTTAACGAACTTTTCAGCGATAAAAATATGTCACATGTAGATATGAGTTATTTAAAATTAATAGTGTGCCATACACGGTCAGTCATGAATGTCAGTTTTGTGATTGTGGTTATTAAAACTTATATAAACTTTTATTTAGGTCTACCAAATCGTTCGATGATATTAAATGTCTTAGAGTTCTTTATTGTGCCTTAGTACGTCCTATTTTGGAATATAGGTCCATTATATGGAATCCTACTACGATCTCTCATATTCAAAAGCTTAAACGTGTACAAAGAAAATTTGTTCGTTTTGTAGGTTTTAAAAAAAATGTTAACGAATAATATTAATGATATCGAAGTTCAAAGCCTACAGCTTAATTTAAAACATGATCCACTTTTAGCCCATCGCATTATGTTAGATATATCCTTCTTATATAAATTAATTAATGGTATCATTTCCTACCCTCCAATTCTGTTTCACGTACCTCAGTACAATACCTGCTCATGCCCAACATTTCGTACTAAAACACATCGCGTTAACTATGGACAAAATAATCAACTTAATAGACTCCTAACATTAGGAAATACATCAAATTTTGATTTTTTTTTAATAATCTGTCGAACCTAAAACGTCATTATTTAAATCACTAGTCTGTCCAAATAGCAATATTTATATGTATTTGTTATGTTATTGCTTATCTTATATACCACACCTATATGATTGTATCACACTTCTGAAACATTTTTGTTTTACGAAATTCTGTTAATTATGTTATAAATTTGTACTTGAGCCTACCAGGCGTTTATCAAAATAAATAATTATAAATAAATAAATAAGGAACTCGTTCAAGTGCATGTGATGAGTCTTCGTGGGACGTTTATCGTAATCGGTCGTGTTTATGAAATTCACTCGCTTATCTAATATTGCCGTGCGTAAATACAAAGTTCACTGCATGGTGCAACGCAAGCATGTCAAATACCAGGTCCTCCAACAAAGAACAATACAAACGTCCTAGCAGTGTCGCCTTCTCTCCACAGCAGGCCAACAAAAATAGATATGCTCCACTCTCAAATCTTAATGACACAGATGACATCAACACAGAAATTACTGATTTGATCTCCGAAGAGGTAAAGCAAAAAATTCCTCCGTTATATATTTATGAAATTAACGATTATACTGCTTTTCTAAATAAAATCTCGCCAGTCATAACTACAGATTTCAACTTCCTTAATAAAAATATATTCTTAAAACTGAATCTATCTACCGTTGATGACTATCGTTCTGTTACAAAATATTTTTCCGATAACAATATTAAATATCTACATACCAACTCACGAAAGATAGAAATCTTTCTATTATAATAAGAAATCTACCAACCTCAATATCTGAAGCAGAAATCTATGATGAACTATCTGCTCTAAAATTTAATGTCACTTTTGTAACCCGATTACAAAACCGTCATAAATCACCAATTCCAATCGTCGTTGTTATCCTTGATAAATCAGCGAAAAATATTTTTCCACTAGATTGTCTTCTTCAGTGCATAATAACGGTGGAAAATCGAAAAAACGATAACTCCATTCCACAATGTCAAAATTGCCAACGTTTTAATCATACAAAAAATTTCTGTAAACTACCTCCTAGATGCGTTAAATGCCCAAAACAACACCACTACTCGGAGTGTACTAAAGATAAAAATAGCCCACCAACATGCGTAAACTTCAATGAAAATTACCCAGCAAATTATAAAGGTATTAAAATCTAAAAAAACTAAAAACCACAGTAAAGTTATGTCTCATAGAAATCCACCTAAACATTTACAAATTATTTCTGAACCTAAAGAACAAAATGTATTCCAACCCTATATAAGTTCTCAAACAATAATTACCCAAAATGAATCTTACGCCGGTAAAGCTAAAAAAAACTTAAGCAAAAAAGAAACAACAGCAGATGATTAAACGTACAGCACAAATATTACCAATGAACTCATTAAATCGCTAATGCCGTTATTCACATCTCTTATCTCAGAAATAATCAAAAAAGTAATTACTAATCTTCCTACATTGTTAAACAATCTCAATGTCAACTAATTATAATAATATTAGTAACATCGTCATCATTAATTGGAATGCAAACGGCATTAAACAAAATCTCAATACTTTCGCTGCATTTTTATCTCAACACAATGTCAATATATCCTGTAAAAGTGAGACTCACTTATGTACAACCGACTCGATTAAATTTAATGGCTACTCAATTTATCGCAACAATAGATCAGCTGTCTGGCCCGCAGGTGGTGTCGCGATATTAATTCGCACAAAAATAAAACACCAACAGGCATATATACCACGGCTGCGATCTTTGGAAGCCGTAGCAATAACACTATTAATTAATAATATAAATACTACTACAGTTAGTACATACCAATCTCCAAGTTATAATATGTACACAAACGACCTCGACATAATCTTAATCAACTATAATAAAATTATTATCATTGGTGACCTAAATTCAAAGCACGTAAACTGGAAATGTAACACAACAAATGCGAATGGAAGAAAATTATATAAGTATCTATCTAACTTCTCCGCGATCATCTCTGCACCTGATAATCCCACTCATTACCCTTATGAACCTAACTAAAGCCCAGATATTTTAGACGTTTTTTTACTTAAATCAACTTCTTTAATAATTAATCAAGAGCCCCTATTCGAACTAGATTCGGATCATTTACCAGTAAAAATATCAATTGGTGCATCTCTAATACAATCTGAACCAACTCGCAAACTTATAAACGAGAAACTTGACTGGGATAAATTCAAACAATACATTTCAGATAATATAACAATTCCTAAGAATATTGCTAATACATTATTGGCTGATGTAGCAATATCTCACCTTCGAGAAACAATCTCCAATGCTGCAGAACAGTGTACAATACCATCAAAACCCACTTTGGGTCAAAATTACAAATCGGTAATTACCCCATCAATACAAAAAATTGTAAAGGAAACAATGGTAACTTCATAGAAGGCCAGAAAATCGTAAGAACCTAAATTTCCTCACCAAAAAAGTAAAATTACTACTCGAAGAACATAGAATAAACTCATATCAAAAATATTTATCTTCAATACATCCCGCTGATTCTAATCTTTAGTTAGCGACAAAAAGAATAATTAATCCCAATGACAACGAAATTCCGCCTCTAAAATCCGGAAACAATTTTATAAATATAGTACATGAAAAATGCAATTTGTTTGTTTCCACTTTAGAAAATACATTCACACTTAACGCCCTTAATGATAATGCAATTAATAATTTTGTGTCTCAGAAACTAAGATATTTCTAATAATTGATTAATAAACTTCCATTAAAATTCGACAGAACCCAACTACCCAACCCCAGTGATGGTGCTAGAATTTGCGAGGCCCTGAGCAAAATAAATGTTGGGTCTTATATTTTATATTATTAAAATATTTTAAGTTCAGTTAAATCAGAACAGCGGGGCCTTAATTATAATTTAAGGCGCGGGGCCCTGGGCAACTGCCCCTATTGCCCACCCACTCGCTTCATCCCTGCCCCACCCTGTATAACAGCTTAATAATAAGTAATAACATATAATATAACAATTGACTAAAATACAAATCACGTCACTGTCCAACCTTTTATTATCATAAGAAGTTTTTGCACGATACCTTATGTAAAACCTTTTGCCCTTTTTTTTCTATTAGGTACGAAACATAATTTATTTTTTACAAAATATTTTATAATAAATTACATTTAATTTAAGCAACATCAGATAAAATTCAAACCCCTTTTCGACTTTAATTGTAGGGCACCATTTACAACATTCTGGGGGGACCTGACATCATCTGTACGCATGTCTATGGTTGTACAGTTATGGGGAGATAACACACTGCGTCAAGAGTTGAAATCAAAACTAATGTGCACATTGGGGCAAACAAGGGTGGGGTCTGGCCACCACCTCCCTAAAAAAATGTCTTTATATTTGACGTGGCTACATAAATTATATGTGATTTGTATCTAAAAATAAATTTTGGCATTGATTTTTAATTTATCAAATAAATGCCAGACAGAAATAATTACATTAGTAGGTTTGAATAAGATAATACAATAAATATTAAATGGTAGTGATTCGAAATTCTCTATTAGATTTTAAAAAATAGCTGTGCAGCTGTATATTTACACATTATACTCAGGAGTGTATTGGTACGTATACGCGGGTATACGGCGTATACACATCAGCAGATTTTCGATTTTCAGCGTATACCTAATGTAAAATATTATTTTACGGTTATATGTTTCTAAAATAATTCGAAAACAAAAAACTCATAATAATTTTATAGTTCACTGGAAAAAATTGTTTTGAACCATGAAATTGATTGAAATATTTAGCTGTTAACCCTACAATGCATGATTTTTTATTTATTATTAAAAAAATTGTTTTTGGATAGTACTAAAGCTATAGAATACGTAAAAAATAATTTAAAAAATCTATTTTGATTTCAAGTGTTGAAAAAGTCGAAAAAGTTGGTTGTTGCTGTAGAGCAACATTATGCATTTGTAACTACGAAAAATAAAAACTTTTTTTTTCATTTATTATATTCACAATGTGTCAACATATTTTACATATTTTTACAAGTTTATTAATACAATTTTGAAATTTTGAAAACTTTAAATTTTTCTAAAATGTTGTCTTATTATAATAGATATACCTAAAATTTGTCAAATTTATACACATTTAAATTATTACATAGTTAAATTACTCAATATTATTAGGTAGTATGATATTTTTTAAAGCAAGTTTTTCCTTTTCCAGTACATAATCCAACTTGACATTTTTCACACGCTTGCCATGTATATCCCTTGCAACTTGGCATTTTACAACGACTCCTCGTTGGTGCATCGATCGGCCAGTGATCAATGCGATCCATGCGTAGATCTTGATTTGGTGGTTTCGAAGCTTTCGGCTTCTTGGACTTTTGTATTAGTGCATTCTCTATAGTATTTGATGGCCTTCCTCTAGTAAAAGTTGACTGACCAACTTTGCACAAAGATATGGCTAAATCTTCTTTAAACGCAGCTAATGTCATAGGTTTTTCAACGTTGCCCCTAGTTTTATTTTTTTGAGCAATTATTCGCTTATGTAACAGCCATGAATTAACAACAGTCACATCAAGTAAATGATAGAAAATCCTTAAATACCATTTACGACTTCTTATTTTAATTTTCTGTCGTCCTAACAAGCTATCCAATAGGTCTACTCCTCCCATGTGTTTATTATATACACTTACAATATGTGGACAGTCTATTTCAATGGATTTATTTTCCGTTTTTGAAAATCTTTTTACCTTAGACATAGGATCGATTTCCACAAATGTAGATAGTAAAGTTACCACCTTGTTATCACGCCAGTATGTGGCGAAAACTTCTTGGTTATTGATGTTTGCCAAACAATAATCTGACGAACCTCGTGGTTTTTTTAAAAAATCCTTTTCATTAGGTAATATTACATTATTTAAGCGATTTCTGCGAACCGTACCCAAAGAACATATTTTACGGTTTTTCATATACACCATCAATGGTACAGACGTGTAGTAGTTATCGAAATAAACTTTATAATTCATATTTTTTGGAATTATTCTACATAGTCGAACGACTACATTTCCCGAAGCGCCAAAATCTGGTTCCCATGAATACCTATTAGCGTCATTGTTTTCCTGGCCACTATACATTTCAAAATTGTAGGAAAAACCAGATACACCGCATAATACAAAAAATTTGTATCCCCACTTATGGGATTTCATTGGTAAATATTGCTTGAGAAAATGACGAGCTTTAGTTGAGCATAATTGCTCATCTATAGATAAAGCTTCTTCTAACAGTATAGAAGCAAATCGTTTTTTTAAAGTCTCCATAACTGGCCTAATTTTATGTAACCTATCATGGCCCACGTGGCCTTTAGGTAACATATTATTATTATTATTGAAGTGTATGAACTGTCGAATTTGTTCAAATTGGTTAACGCTCATCGTTTCTTGAATAATTTGATTTCCTAAGTTTGGAGACCAGTATTTTCGAATATTAGAAATATTTACTAAGCCCATTAATAGACAGACTCCTAAATACTTTTTCACATCATTTGAAATTAATTTAAAATTTTTATTTGGATTTATTTGTACACTATATATCAAAGTTTCATACACAATATGTTCAATTAAATCATCTTGGAAAAAGTAGCCAAATATTTGATACGGAGTACTTAAATTTAAAATTTCATCTGAAAGTTCAGTGTTACCAGTAAATTCTATATTTTGGGTGGACAATTTTTCATGTTTCCATGAAATATCCAACTTTTGTTTTTTATTTTAGGCTGAGGCTTAGCAACAAAAGGAGGTGTGGTTATATCTAATTTGGATTTTTTTCTTAAATTTTTAATTTTGAGGTCTGGAGTTTTATTTATTTCATTTTTTGTATGCGGCTGTACAGAAATAAAGTTTGGATGAGATATCGATTGGCCGTCAGGTTCACATTCAACATCTCCCATGTCAATATTTATATCCAAATTACTATCTAATAAGTTTATAGAATTAAGGAACGGATCTAACTCATCGTCATCAATATTTTCCAAAAATTTATCGAGTTCCTCTAAACCAACTATATCATCATCTATACATATACCTTGTTCGTCGCCAGATTCCAAGTCGTCTTCAGAATCAGATGGAGGTTCATTTTCCAGCAATTGTACAATTTCTCTATCAAACAAATGTCTTCTACACATAATGAAAAAATGTACAAATTTGTGATGCAAAAAGTAAAATAATAAAACGCGCAAAAAATACGGCACTGAAAAACGTCGAAAAAAATATACGTCCCGTGTAGTGCTAAATGCATAATGTTGCGTATGAGCAACAACCGTTCATTATTGATTTACAAATAAAATATTTGACTTATCTGTATAATCTTGGAAATTATCTAAAGTTTAGATATATATGAACACGGGTATATTTTTATTGTTATCCATAGTCATATCTTATGATTTAAAATTATTGAAAAAAAACCCAGAATTTTGTCACATTCATATGTACCGGTCTGTCGATAAATAGTTTGATTTTTCCAATCACATACTGCTATCTATCGTTTCGAAAGTAAATTACATAATATATTATCATATTTGATTTTGATTAAAGCTAATATACACCAACTAACATAGATAAATATCTGATTATAATCTTTTTAATCGGTTGTTGCCGAGGAGCAACACCATGCATTGTAGGGTTAAAGATTACAGTGTACGCTGAGTTCAATGTATTTTGGTAACTGTAGCGAATAACATTGAATAAAATAGTATGGATTGTGAACATTCAATCCATTGATCTTAAATCTGCATCATGTGATTTATAACGCACTGCAAATGTATATCTTGTAGTGTTATATTTAATAGTCTTAATAGAAGATATAAACATGTATTGACAAAGGATTAATTAAATTTTTTCGAACGTAGCGAGAGAAAACAATTGTCGAGCGAAGCAAGAAAATTTATTTTAGAATTAATATCCATATATTTTTAGTGCGTATACCCACAAATATATATTTACCAATACACCACTGATTATATTACTGGTGGACACCTCATTAGAAAAAATTCTGGTTTTGCCACTGATTGTGTAGTTTGTGAATCTACCTTCAACTAATATAATTTATATTTTTTGGTTTTTTGGTAATAATTACACCAATAACATGCTAATTTAACATTCACCTCTAATAAAATGTTTAGCATTTTCATCAAATTCTGAAATGTATCCACATTTTTCCTACTATATCATAACACATTTAATATTATAGAAACCTAGCAATCTGGAAAGATGAATCGCTACATAAATTTGCCACAACTATAGCCATTATGTTATAATAAAATACAGATATTTCGGTGACTGGTGACATTTAAATAATTTAAAAACCCCAACTTTAATGGTTATTGGAGCACCAACTCCCCAGGTAGAAGCAAGATATGAACTATGAAAAAATGATTTGTATAATTCATAAAAAAATAGAACAAAAGAAAATTGAAGACATTAACTTAACTAATTGATTTTACAATATTAAAAATACATGATTTTTTTTTTTTTAATATCAAACTAGTATATTTAAAACTACTTTTAGATATTGCTATAATATGCAATGAAAAAATCTATGATTAAACATTTTATGTTTCATCAAAAACATACAAAAATGTATATTTTATGCCAATAAAATATTCGGAAAACAGGAAACAAAAGTAAAATAATTTAGTTTTTGGAGTATATTTAAAAAACAAAATAAAAACCAATTATTTTATTGATCTATCCTAATTTTATTCAATAAGTCTTGGTTTGGCTACAGAAAGATTTGTTAGGTACATTACAATAATTGTTATAAAAAATTCACTCGACGTATAAATATTACTTTGGCATGCAACAGATATTACTTATTACTTGTTTTTAATGTTAAATACTTGAAATAAAATTAATAAAATATTAAAAGCATAAGGTTATACCATCATAAAACACACAACGTATACATTGATAATTCTTACCCTGTATCAAAAAACAAAAATGCCTTCATATTGGAAAACTTATATAAACATAAAAATAAAGCGATTAACCAAATTGAAAAACTGAGTTTGGATTATTATATCACAGTCTTATGTTGTAACAGTAGAATATGTGTTAAAAACTTAAATGCTAATAAAAAAAAAAAAAAAGGGTTTTAAAAATGTACTTAGGCAAAAATATAAGAAATAAACTATTGAATGAGTACTACAATATTTATAAGTACCTACTTGATATATAAGAATACAAAAAGTAAACGATTGACTAGCTTTTTTTATGCCAAACTTGTATTTTATATTAATCAAATTTAATTGAGTTATTACAGTTATTATAATATTGTTTACAAAACTTTTTTTTTTTTTGCGTTTAATCAACGATCAGGCAGAACTTGCTTGTACAATGCTTCTACCCAGTACAATACATAAAAACCATAATAACAGCAATTAGATTTAAGTGTAAAATTCAATTTTTTTTAAATATTATAAAGTAACTTATTTCAATGAGAATATGTGATAACTAACAGAAGAATGATTTATATTTGTTGATGATACTTAAAGAAAAACTTATAAACATATAGATGTTTATAAATATTGATTTTTAAAAGAATAACATTATTTAAATACTATGTAATCAAAACAGATATTGTTTTTGTTTCATTTAAAAAGATGTTGATATAGTATCTCTCTTAAATTTTGAACTTTTAAAGGAGATTACAGCCAATAAAAATACAAAACCGATTAAATACAATAATTTTTATAAGGTTTACAATTTATAACCTATTTTACCATTTAATTTTTGTTTATGTGCATTAAAAGAAAAAAATTTAATACATAAATTATATTCCATAAATGACAATTTTTTTTGTTTATATTCTCTATTTCTTAAGACATAAAATGTCAGTCATATTAAAAAAATATCAGCAAAATGCAATAATTTATATTCAATTTATGTAAAAACTATATACATAATATTACATTTATTTATAATAAAATAAAAATATTTATATTCTATCTCGAAAAAAATTTATTTTACTTAATATAATGAAAAATATTAAAACCAGTTACTGGAATACATTTAATATTTAAATAATGATTGATGTTTTTAAAGTACTTAAAAACACGGTCCAATTGTCATTTATGGATTATTTTTATGAATAATTGAATTATGTTTTGTTAAAAAAAATAAACATAATAAAAATAAAATACATTGAAACAGATCTGAATCATTAAAAACACAGTACATGAAACTATTGCAGTTTTTTCTACAAAATTGTCAACTTGTTAACATTAAATATTGTCTAAGTTAACTTAAAATAATAAAAATAAAAAAAAATAAAACAATTATTATAACTAGACATATAAAATAATAACCAATTACAATATATTATATATTTCACATGAAATAAATTTTCCACTGGAAAATAATGCATACGTCAATAATGAAATATTAAGTAAACAAGAAGGAAAAATGTGAATAGAACATTGAAACTAGTGAATACTGTACATATTAAATCCTTATTTTACTGTTTAACTTACACTGTTTTGTTTTGTTAATAAACAATTTACATCACGTCTACAAAAAATTCACAAGGATTTCCCATTGCCATTCGGAATGATTGTTGACTAGCTGACAGATCAGTAGGTACATTAGGTGGACCCATCACTTGAGATTTTTCTGAACCACTAGATTTATCCACAGTTGATGGGGCGGCAACTGGATTCTGTTGAGCTGTGCCACCACTATGATCACTCATTGCTAACCCTATCATGTTTTGCTTCATAATATCTGAACCAGATCTACTACCACCTATAAATAAATTAAATATATTATATCCATCTGTTACATAATTATGTATTAAAATAAATATTATTTAAATTAAGATAGTTGCAATACTCAACTAATAGCTTTCAAGATAAATAATACTAGATAAAATTTTAAAATAGATAATTAATTTTAATGCGCTTTTACCAATCTAACACGTGTATTATGCAATTGAAATAGGTATAAAAGTTATCATAGAAATAGGATTTTAAAAATTTTAAATATGAAATATTTTAAATACTAACAGGAAAAAACAAAATAAACATGATCTTGATATTTTATTCTTTGTCCAAATATTGATTTACTTTCATGAAATATTTCTAAGCAAATAAAAAAAAAATTTAACTAAATAATTGTTTTTTTAAAAATCAAAAATTAAAAAACTCATGAAAATTATTGTAAACCAAAAGTGTTTCATCAGGACCATAAGTTGATAGTAGTAATAACAGATAAATTGTAAAATACACTGTCACGGTAAAAAATGTCTTCTGTATTTAAATTAATAAAATATATTTTATCTAATGAAGTATTCTTAAATTTTCTATTATTTATTTCTATGAAATAAAAACTTAAGTACTAAAGTATGTATAATTATTAAATATAACATTTATAAGTCTAATTAAAAATGAATACCACTAACATGTAAAAATAAATCAAATGACTAACTGAAGGAAGGCATGATGTGATACAGTAACTAGTTACAATTGCTAGTTGAAGTTCTTCCACTACATACAACATATCTAACTCCTGGATGGGTAACCATTCAGGTTTCTAAAAAAAGTAATGCCTTCACTTTCATTAAAATTAGTGGAGGCATGATAGAAGTATTTTGATAATCTATGCTTGTTTATGACTGTGTAGTATAGTATTCAATTTTTTTTTTTTTTTTTTTGACAGTTAATATTTAATAGTAAGTAAAAATTAACATTTTTATGCATTGCAATAATTTGTAGGATAAAGCAGATGAAGAACTATTACTACTTGCAAATTAATTTTGAGATGAAAATGACAAAATGTTTAGTGAATGGAGCAGAAAAAATTGTTTTAACACTCTAATCTTAAGATACTTAATGGACAACTTAACTCAATTTAGATCATATATAATAATAGAACATTATAATAATATAATCCTACACTAAGTTTCACCCATACATTGCCCTCGTGGAATTTGTTGCGTGATTTAAGAACTACAATTAACAATCATGAGCATGAATTATTAATAAAAATAAACATTGTTTCACTTTATATATAAAATAATTTATCTGTGACTGTTTTTCGATATTTCAACTTTTACACAAAAAATGAATGTATGATTGTAGGAAACCATAACTTTTTATGTTTTAACTTAAATTTTAACTACAAAAGAAGGTCTTCAAATTTACATGAAATTTAAAATAATATAAACACACAAATACATTTAATATTGTAGCCACACAATAGTAAAACTATAAAATAGTACATAATAATTTAAATATAAATTCAACTTATTTACTGATAATTTATTATGACTATAAAAATTACCTGAACCACTTTCATCTTTATCAAACAAATATCGTGGAGGCTCTCCTGGATAATTAAATGGCATTGGCGAAGAATTGGGATTAAATGTTCCCGAGTATGGCATATCCCAAGCACCATGGCTAGCAACTCCTGAATTATCAATTGGATCACTCTCAATTTTTATTTGCTCCATACCTATCATATACATAACATTTATTACATAAAGATAATTCAATAAGAATAAAACATCAATAGTATAAATTACATAAAAATATACCTGCAGAAAGGAGATCACCAAAAACATAATAACATTGTTCTGAAAATGTAGTTTTATTAACAGTATGTTTAATATAACCAGCTTTGAGCATATGTGAAGCATATTTTCTAGCTTCCCTACGATCTTGGAAACCTTCAACATGTGTCTCCAACCATTCAACAACATCAACACCTAAAATTAAATATTTTTTAGTAAACACTTAAAGACTATCATTTTAAATTTTACTAACCTATAAAAGAATTAGGTATAACAATTTTGAGCCACATTCTATCCCTGATCTCTAATCCTGAGTCTAGTCTAGCCATAGCTCGAACAATACTAAGCATGTCTGTATTACGTACATCCAACTGAAGGTCTTTAAATGTACTAGCTGGAACAGCATTTACTGTAGAAAAATAAGTTATGTTATTTTTTTTAGTAATTTAAAAAGAAATATATATTTAAAAATAAAAAATAAGCCAAATAAAATATTAACATACTTTCTGTTTCAGCCATGGTAGATACTAACGATGAACTAGTGGATGTAACGGTTGATACTGAAGGTGGTCGTAGAGGGTAAGTTTCGCCTAAAATGTATTCAAAACAATATCATTTAAATATCTTATAATAATCATTTAATATTACCTCTCATGGCAGCAGTATGGGCTACCCATGCACCTGGATCAATAGGTCGAACAGGTTCAGTTCGAGGAATAGTAAAATATGACTTTGGATTTGGATCCCAACATTTTGCTACAACTAATTTAATTGGCCTGGATAAAAAAAATTAACAATGTATAAAAAAATACCATTAAATATTAATAAGTCTAGGTGAATTTGATTAAAATAAGTATAAATTAATAGTAAATTATTTTTCTTAATTTAAATTAAGATTTCAAATTTTTTAACCTGATGTTAGTATAAATTATATTTTAAATAGTTAAAAACAAAAATCTACAAATTTTAAAATTAATAATAAAATACAATTAAACATTCAACATGTTTACGTTAAAAATATTATTTTATTTTATACAAACCCTGGTGTTTGCACTACATCTCTCAGCACACGAACAGCTTGATCGTTCGACATATTTTCAAAATTTATATCATTAACTTGTAGAATCATATCACCCGGTTCAATTCTACCATCCAAAGCTACTGCACCTCTAATTTTAAAATTATAAAAATATTAAAAAAATGAATAAATTTAGTCATCAATACTATGGATTACCCTTTCATGATAGATCCTACATAAATTCCTCCATCTCCACCATTGTTACTTTGTCCAACAATAGATATTCCCAGAAAATTAACTGAATCCATGTTCAATGTCACAGTAATTATATTCAATGACATACTGGAATCAGTAACTGATGAAAATGAAGATGTACGACACATTCCTCCTGGTCCAGCAGGCCTTTGATGTCTTTTACGTCTTTGTTGAGTTCTTCGCCGACCACTACCAGCTAAACGTTGCCATTCTAAAATTAAAATAATAACAATAATAATTTATAGTACACTCAAAACCAGATAAAGTCTCAATGTTTTTATCTAAAACAATTGAATTAAAATTTGTTTAATTATTCATCCAAAATTTAAGATTTTTTCAAATCAATTTATCAGATTAATAAAAACATATATTAAAAAATGTTAAGAATATGAAAAAACTGACATGCATTTTTAACTACTAAATTATAAATTACCACTTGAAACATTAGTTGCTCGTCCAGTTGTGGTAGTAATTCGACTTGAGGCATCATCCTCATCAGATTCTAGAAAACTTGTAGTTTCTAACTCAGAACTCAACATTGAAGATGAACCATACGGTCTATGTTGTTTGGGATGACCATTCATACCCAAACCATTATATTTCAGAAACTTTGGATTTGCAAGACGATGATGACTTTCCCGAGCCATATGATGATGTCCAGGACGTATAGAACTTGATATTGATGATTCAGTATCAGTACATGTCCCAATATCATCTTGATGTATTCGTGATAATGCTGCTTTTCCAGCTCTAATAATTATAAATAAAAATCATGAAATAATAATTTAAATTCTAAACAACTTAATTAAAAAATGTTATTACTATTGGGATAAGTAAAAGTACTTTCAGCTATTACAGAAACTACTGACAGAGATATAAAAATAAAATTAAAATGTTTAAAGAAAAAAGAAAAGAAGTCAATAACTTTTTTTATAATATGTTCAAATATTAAAAACAATAATATTATTAGTATATATATATTTCTAAGTTTATTTAATGGTTTAATACTAACTGATTATCAGCTTGTGTCCTATGCGTATGATGACCAGAATCAGTACCTTGAGAAGTACCATCAGAAATATTACTTCCTTCGGCAGCAACTAACTATAATTTAACAAAAAAAAATTATTTTTTGTGCCCTAAAAACTTATATAGGTTTATACATGAATTATAATAATTTAGCTTACCCATGAAACTACACGACCGTTAAAACATGGTAATGGAGAATCATCTTCAACAATTTCTTCCTTGACCACTCTAAAATAAAAAGTAATAAAATATTATACAACATAATAGAAAAGATATAACTAAGTAATAATAATAATTTGAATGGTTTATCTTCAGTCTATAAAATAATCGATATGATTATATTTTAAATATTCAAAACAGCAATTCAGTAAATGCTTAGTAAGTGTTATTATCATTTAATATTTTTCTTATTATAATTAAACCTTGCAGGTATTTAATTACTAATTTAATACAAATAATACAAAAAGTATAAATTAATAACAAATACAGACAAGATTTATCAGTCGTAAACAAATTATACCAATGTTAATATAAATTGTTATCAAAAAAATATTTAATAAAAATTAAGATAAACTAACTTAAGAACAAATAGTATAAAAATGCTCAAAATATTAATAATATATTCCATGTTCTTGTATAACAAAATTTTTTAAAAACTATTTCAGAAAAACTCCTTCCCAAATTAAACTCAACAACTGGAATAATTTATCAGTCTGAATATTGTTATTGAATTGATTTTGGCTGAATATATTTCAAAAACATGTGTAACATCAATACAGTATCCTTGGTATGCTGTTTATATTTTAATTTTTTTACCAAAACGACAGACAATTATGGTTAAGGATCTGCAAAAGGTGTGGTCTAGTTTTTAAAAATTTTCCAAGACCAAGAGTTTATTTAGCAATCAAACCAATATGGAGGGGGGTAACCATAGTCGGTAGTTAATCAACGGGCATCAACAGCAGTAAAAGTACTATTTCGTCAATAGACAAACAAAACCATGGCTCTTATCACTAACCCAAAGTCGTCGTCCATGGACTTAAAGAAGAACTTATAGTTGGGCCGATTGAGGACGTTCTTAAAATCAGCCAGCGTGACTTTGTCGGCCGCAATCGGCAGTTTGACCAAATACGGCGTGTCCTCGTCATCGATATGATAGATCACTTTGGTCTCCTCCATCACCTCGGCTGTCGATGCGACTCGTGTTGCATAAAAAAATGATCACACAAAAAAGAACAGGACACAACACGAAACGTTATCACTTAAAGCACAATTATAGCAGCTATGGCGCAATAATACGCAGATCAACCGCGATCGTTGTCGTGTTCAGTCCGCGGCATCATCGCGCTCCACCACAAAACGCTAACGAACAGATCGTTTCTCGTCATCCATCTGCGTAGCGGACGGGGCCGAGAAAGAACAAACTGTCGCACGACGAAAACACGGTACGGTGATGATTCGCACTCGGGCGGAGGACGAGATGGTAGTGTTATTGTTGTCCCTCGACTCAGCACAGAGCAACCAGCAAAACACGCGCACGCACGCACACGTATGACGGACGGGAACGACACATAAATAATCTTTAATAATGCACAGGCCCCGCGCGTTTCCCCTACTACCGCCTTCCACACCACCACCAAGGCGGCCGCCGTAGTAGTAGTCGGCGTCGTCGTCCCGCCAGCTGCTGCTGTTCCCCGGGTACACGATACTGCTTACCGTTCGTGCGCACCAGTACAGGCACCGATACGTACCGATAGGCCAAAATGATTAGCCGAGAGCAATCGTTGAGATCACGCCGCCATGTTGGGTCTTCGAACTGATAATATACACGTCGTAATACGGTCCACCGCGGTGGGGGTACGTGGTTTGTTATTGTACCACTGTGACTCGTTACCTGTTATCCGGGGCAGCAACAGCTCCGGTGATCTGCTGCCGTATTTCCGCGTATCTTACTATCGGAATTCATACGATCGCTCGTTGGGATTCCTCAACGTGCGTTCTTTCTCTCTCTCACTCTCTCTCACTCTCTCTCTCTCTCTCTCCCTCTCTCTCTCACACCCTCTCTCTTTATCTCGCATGACAATTCGTCGTTTCAATACAATACCGACTATAACACGACGCATGAACGTGATCTCCCGTCATACAAACTCTGGTTTGGACCCGGTAACGGATACGCGCTGTACAATACGATTTATGTAGGTATTCGCCGTTTGCACTGGGTGTCTTGACGATATACGGCCACGGCGACCGTTCCTGCACGATGAAGTCCGCGGATATGATTTACGACCGTAATTTACTGTCCTATTGTACTAGCTTCCCAACTTGAACCAGTAATTATTGTTTTATTGGAGCTTGTTATTATAAAGTAATGTAGTAATGACTGATTTATATAGTTAGACATACTTAGTTAGACTGGCAACCTGAGACAGTACCTCGTCAGTGTGTAATTATTCGACCGATGTGTCATATACATATATCACTTTGTGGATTACTTGAAATTTGTCTTGAACTCCCTACAGCATCGTTTCTTAAACATTTTTATCCATGGAACCCTTTTTGATGTCCACATTTATCGTGGAACCCCTATTTTTTTTTTTTAGCTTTTTAGCTTTTTTTCAAAATTATTTGTAAATTAATTATAATCATATAATAATATTATGTTAAAGGTATTTAATTCAAAAAATATGTCAAAATTAAAAATTAAAATAATAATAATTGTATACATATATTATAATACTTTAATAATAATTACTTTAATTAGACTAAATATAAATTTAGACTATTCCATATGGCATAGGCGTCACTAATGGGTATCGAGAGGTATCTTTGCTACCCCAGAAATTTTTGTGGGGTAGCAAAGGTATCTTTTCGCTACCTCAAAAAAGTTATAGATTTTAAAAATATATTCGAAGTTTATTATTCAAGTGTGTACGAGCATAGACCATATTTATGATTATGATTGTATCCAAAATATATTTTGAGATAAATTCAATACAGACAATAAGGCAGTGTATACACTATACGTTATACCAAGATTTATGAAGAAGAGTTAGCCAGTGAAGTAAGTCAGTTATCATGTTAAACCTTTAAAAATTTATTTTTTAACTTTTTAAAAATAAACTTTGTTACCCCAAAATTTGGACTTTAGTGACGCCCATGCCATATGGCTTATACATTGTTATTTAATATACAAAGATTTTTTTTCTATAATGCAAACAGTTTTTCACCATTACTAATCTTTAACTGAAAATTTTAAAGTAATTTTTTTAAAAAATTACTTACGCTTCGCGGAACCCTATGGTTCCGCGGAACACAGTTTAAGAAACGCTGCCCTACAGTGTCGTGATCGTAGATCATTTACTTTTCTACAACTATGTATTATCACAGAAATGCAAAGCGTTAATAGACAACTATGCAACATTGGCAGGATAAGTTTATCACAAAAATAAAATACTATGTATTGAGATTAAATAAATTATCCACACCAAGGTGGACATACATCCACTTTGATCCGCACTATGTCAACAGTATAGCACGTTTATCAGTTCATCATAATGTAACAATAACATCGTCAGTTAACGAGTATCGCCGAATATTAAGAGTTTTATTATTTTATGTAACTAACCTGCCCTGGGGAATCTTAAAGACATTAAAATGTCCTTATGAGATTCAAAATGATATTATAATAAATAATTTTCTCAAAATAAAAAATATAATGTGAATTTTTTCGACTGTCTAGTATATTCTTGTATATTCAAACTTCCGTGTTAAACCGAATTATGATAAATTGGGGCCCGGGACCAAACAGTTTTAGGGGCCCATAACCATAATCAAAATATGAATGACTCACACATAAATATATTTCAGAGACAAAAAAGAATTATATTCTAATTTATAAATTTCTTTTTTGCTTTTTTTAATACAAAAAATAAAAATGTTATTTATATAAACAATTTTTTTCTTTCTTTTTGAGAAGCAAATCCTCTAATCATATCATCGGTATTAATTGCCTCTAAAACATTACTCTCTGAACACAAAACGATCAAACTATATACTTTTTTATGCTTGTTTTTTATACAAGCCAAAAAAAGAGTTAAAAAAACGAATAAAAAACCTACTATCCACCATGGGACCTACTATTGTTTGATATCCATTGTGGGCCCGGGGCCATGGCCCCCTCTGCCCTTCTTAACCCGGGCTTGTAAACCACCGAACAAAATAATCTCAACAAATTAAACAAAATTTGATAATTTTTCGTGCACGGTGCCCGTATAATATACTGATCGATACACATCCGTCTCTACTATCTTTACGATACAACGGCCAAAATTGTATAAAATTTTATTATTATTAGTTTTAAATCGCCCTCTATCAGAATTTTTTTTTCATGCCATCGAAAACCGGCCAGTGAGCAATCTATAGTATGTATATATACTATAGTATTATATATAACCAATGGTAATAATAAATAAATATTGTTATTTTTATCATATTATAACAAAATTGTAATTAAAATAAGTAATTTACCTATATCAGATTAATGTTTTTAAACTAATATACCTACCTAAACATTATTTAGGAGCCCATTTTTTATTTTTGGAGAGGGGTCCATATTTTTTTGTTACGTCACTGGTGGATATAAATAACTCTTAATTTGTATTTATAATAAAAATATGATAATTATAATATAAAAAAACCATATATGATTATATACCTTGTTTGTATTTTTCATAATATTATACAATCCCTTTTTTTAAAAAAAAATTAACCCATTTTCCCCTAGAAAAATTGGAAAATACCCCATTGCATAAACAATAACCGTTTAATCCATAGATATATTAAAGATCTTTTATATGTCTATGGTCAAGGACGTATTTAAGGGATGGGCCCATGGGGCCCGTTCCCCCCCTCCATTCACCGTATTTTGTACTTTATTATTGTAGGCCCTCTTATTTTTCACTCACGGGCACACGGTGAAATGCTGGAATATCAATATATAATGATAATATGATAGCAGTGGCGTATTTAGGAATTTTGCTAGGAGGGGAGATAAAATATATAATAATTAATAACACACCCATAAGGTCTTAAATTGGTAGTTGACGACCGTATCATGTTATAATAAACTAGTAACAAATTTTCTAAAAACAAACCAGCCCTAGGTAATTCCATGGTCATCATAGCCATTTTGTTTTATTTAGCAACTGCTTATCAGGTTTATTATAAGCACACTTGCATGAAAAATAATTCGCAGAAACAAAATACAGTACACCATATATTATATAGGAATATATTGTTGTTGCCCGATAGTCGCATATACCGCCAACGATTAGTAGCGATTATCATGATAAAATAAATTTATTTTATCATGGCGATTAGTATATCAGGACGGTACAATAACCACGACTAGAACATTTAGAAAGCAGATATACTTGAAAGTAATATCATATTTGAGAAATACAGAAAATGAGACAACTTAACTACCTATATAAAAAAAAAAAAAGATCAAGGGGGCGATCTATCCCCCATATCCACCCAGTAAATACGCCACTGTATGATAGGTACCATCGATTAAACAGATTAGCATTGCTTAATATACACCCTGAAATAATTATAAAACCTGAAGAAGTAGTTGATGCATATGCTAATAAACACCCTAGACGTCTTCAGTTATTGTAATTACAAAAATTATATTTAAAAATATGTATTGTTATAAATTTGTGTAATAAAATGTTGTTTCTATTAAACACTTGTATTTTGATTATTTGGTTATAAATAACGACAGTTTTTTTGGATGGAAAAGTTATAACTATGTATACTTTAAACTTTTTGTTTGTGCCCCCCTCCTCCATAAGACATTTCTAAATACGCCCCTGACTATGGTTTAATCGTCAGTCCACAGAGGAATATAATTCAGTCGGTGACTCTCGTTAAGCTTATCAGTTTCTATTATTAGTTTTATCACAGATTATATAAATATTTTATGTAGATGATGATAGTACCTATCATAGTTGTTTAGTGATACAATCACGATTAAAGATAAGATTACCTTATCTTTAACCGAAGATACAGTCAAAGAGTATTAATTACTTAATAATACGACGTCGCTTTGCGATAATGCATACTTCATTTTTCTACTAAATGAAATTGCTATTTGCTTAACTAATTGAGAAGTGGTGAGCAGCGAATGCCAAATAAATAAATACTGGATCAATACATTTTATCCTCTATTTTGCCACAAATATATTTTTAAGTTTTGCCTATTATTAAGTATATTTATAGCATTCTTTTTACATCGTGCTCATAAATCCCTGTTTAAAGTGACTTGACTGAATTTATATACATACATTAAATATATATATATATATATATATATATATATATATATATATATATATATATAATATTTATTAGTGCTTCATGACACTTCTGTTATTTTTATGTATCTTACCAAAATATTTAATAAATTATGTCTATTGGATAATTTATATCCAATCACTAGTTTTCTCTGGCGGCCATCCACAACAGTCATGCAGTAAGTGTTAAATATTTTAAAAAACTTTCATCTAATTACTCATATTTCAGAAGAAATGGTTATTATTCAAACTTCAATCTAAAGAATTACATGAATTATATTAGACCTTTCGTTCATGTAAAAAATGATGGTAAGTTATTAAAATGAATTGATAAATCCAATTCCAACTGACAAATTTTTATTTTTCAGCAAAAAATAAGTTATTTGATTTTAGTGTGTTATCATATAATGTATTAGCTCAAGATTTATTAGAAAAAAATGCTTTTTTATATGATTGGTCAAATGTAAAAGTATTGAATTGGGATTTTCGGAAAAACCTTTTGTTAAATGAAATAAAAGAAATAAATGCTGATGTAAGTTATTCATTTTGATTAATTATAATTTTTAAGGGTATATTTTATATTTTTTTAACTTTGGTTAATAAAAAAGACTTACTTAAAATTCTGTTAATCAAAAAACATATTATTATTTTATTATTTCTCCATAGTTTTCTTGTAATTTAAATTGCTAATAGAACATAAAAGTTGATAATATTATATAGGTTCGATCAGCTTAGACATTTACCTAAATTGCCTGCCTGCTAATCATGGCACTGGTTTAGACCAAATCAAGAAATTTTTTGATTTTATAATTGTTTTTCCAGCTATCTAATTTTTAGGCAATCAATATACTTACTACTTACTTTTTTTAAATCTTTGTAAGTATTTAATTTGCTGTTTTTTTTTGATAATTAGAGTGAGATTTTATATGCATTAAAAACCAACCAAATATGTGCTAAAAAATATTAAATGTGCATGAAAAAAAATAAAAATATGCACTTATAAATAAGCCAATAAAAAAAAACTGTACATTTAAAATTATGGAACCCTACTATAAAGACTTTTCTTTCTACTTCTTTTTAAGAAATTTATTTACCGATATTATTTTGTAAATAGTTTTAATCTATAAAAAAAAAAAAAGAAATTAATATCAAAAAGGTATCCTTAAAAAAAAATGTTCTTACCTAAATTTAAATTTCGTAGTATGATAATCATAATTGCTATATTTTCAAAATAATATATTGGTGTTTAACAGTCTACAAATTTTTATATTTTGTAAATTACTTCCACATCTACAAAATAAGGTGTGTATTTAAAAAATATCATATAATTTGGAAATAAATCTTCGCTAGTTTGAATTAATTCACCTTCACTAATTAAAATAATTAATATTTTAGTAAGTATATTGTAGCGTTCAATTTTAATAATACTTTTCTAAATTGTTCATAAATTAATTTACTCCTTACATTACAATACCTAGTAAATATTTCAAAGATATCTAAAACAAAAATACATTGAAATATGCAAATCTCTGCACTAAAAAAGTTTAATTGTTTAAATTGTTATGTCATAAAACAAATTTTGTACTAACTTAACATATTACATGACCAACCAAAATAAATATGCAAATGCATATGAATCCACACTATTGATTATCAACACAGTGGTGTAGCTAAGATTTTTCTTTGGGGGGTTGATCAATTTTTATACAGTAGTGGTTTAGATAGGTTCTTCTATAATTTTAACATGTGGATGCCAAAGTTATATTTTAGATTTTAGTTCCAATAATCCTTAACATATATTGATTTAATAATACTCTTACATACTTTAAATACTTTAGTTTTTGTATTTTATAGAATAAATTTATACTATAGTTATTTTACACATATTACATATTAAAAAAAAAAAATAGAAATTAATTTTTTTTTTTTTATAGGACATAAAATAATAGACCAACATTTTATATAATAAAACAAACCCCTATTTAATAAACATGAATATAATATGATGAATAAAAATAATTAACAATACTTCTTTAATTACTTTTTAACATTTTTAATTAATTTTATTATTAAATGACCAACAATTTAAATGACAATTTTAACTTTTGAATCTTTCGGCTGTTAACAAATGTATTAAATATTCGATCGTCTGAAGTTTCAGTGTCTCTTTTAATAGATAATTATATGAGTTTGAAAAATCTTAACTCTGAAGTTGAATTCACGATTCAGAATTATACACATAATTATAGCACAATATTATATGCATAAAATACCTACTACTACAGATAGATAGCTGTAAAGTGTTAATACTAGAATGTTTAAACATTTTTACTTTTTTAGCAATTTTCATAGATCTATAATATAATTTTCTTAACATTTCTGGAGGGGTGCAGTACCCTCAACCTCCCCCTCTTGGCCATGCTACTGTCAACAAAGCATAATTATACAAGGAAATCTGTTTATGAATAAACCAATACTTGAATTAATTGTGTATTAATTATATACACTGTGGTCACTGCTGCCAATTCATTTTTATTGATCTTTTAGTTGTAACTAATTTACTTTTACAATTATCATACATTTGATTAATGTTTACTATTAATTAATTATTAAAACAATTCTTTATAAATTATTTGAGAATATATAATTTACATATAATTTTTCAAAAAAATATAGTAAATACCTATGTAGTACTAGATGAATTACTTAGCTTCACCCATTTACAGTTTTGAAATAAATTGTATTAGGTCTTTTTAATATAACTAATTTTTTAAATAAAAATGTAGACTTAATTATTTTTGTTTTGTTCTTTTGTTATTTTTTATTTATTCTTTTTTTTTTTTTAGTTTTTCTTATTCACCTAATTGAAAAATATCTTTAGATACAATTTTATTGGGCTAAAATAATGGCACTAGAAGTATTCCTTACACTTGAACATGCTACATATAGTTATATTAATTAAAGACTAATTTTGCAAATAATATAAATACAAACTAACTATAAACTGCTGTAATTTATTGTAAATATCTTATTTTAACATACTTTTATAAACTACAAAGTTAAATAATAAATTAAAATCTCTGTAATTCTAAGACATGTGTAATATTAAGCATTTAAATACTGATATGCTTGAATTTGATCTACACTATAAGTAGTTTTTTAATTTTTATGACGCATCTAAAGTGAAATGGGCTTGAGTTTGATTTAAAGATTCTTGTCTTCTAGCTTATTTTACAGTGTGAGCTTTGGTAGAACTACATACTGTAAATTAGATTTGCGAGTGAGTTATATTAAAATAAAAAATATGCAAAATACAATAAAAAAAACCACAAGAATTAGAAAAACTGCTATATTTTACCGAAGAACAAAAAGAAAACAAAAAAATCTTTGATTATTTAAATTATTTTTTATTTTCATGTCATTATAGCAACAACAAAACTACAAAAACTGCCTATTCAATTAGCGACTTATGATGTAATACTGATGCTTTACTTTCCTTTTTTTTTTTTTTTTGATAAAAGGTAGCCTATATCCTTCACCAATGTATTGTATTATCCAAAATCCAATTTATTTTTGTTTAAAATTTCATTGAAATAGATTTAGTGGTTTAGATGTAAAAGACAGACAGATTGAAAGATAGATAGAATTACTTTCGCATTTATTTTATTGGTAAAAATTATATTTTATGAAAACATAACTATATTATATATTTTAATTTAAAAATGTATAAAAATTGTCAAAAGTAAAATTAATTCATTCAGAAATAAGGTTCATCAATACCATAAAAAATATAATTTTTTGTTAAGATTCTCAGCCTGAAACACATTAAAATATATATTTTATTAGAAAAAATTATTATGTGTAATATAATTTATCATTTATTACACTCTATTTTATTATTCACATTCATAATTAATTTGTATAAAATATATTTTATTAAAGATATTCTTTATAACATTCTGATCTTACATTTAAATAATAACACAATAAATAATTTGAGTTTCAATAAAATATTTTAACTTTATGTTCATAATTTATATATATAATATAGTATTTATTATTCTTCTGGCGTGTTTACTCTCTAAAAGTTTTTAACGCCATTACTACATTTCACCATCTATCTTTATCTTAGATTGCTTCTTTCCAATTTTCAACTCCTAAAATCTTCTTCAACCATGTCCATTCATCTTTTCCTAGATCTTCCTTTAGGTTGTTTACCTTGTGTTTTCAATTTTAATGTTGCTCTCACTATTTTGTTTTCCCCTCTCCTCATTATGTAATCTATTGTATCTACTGTATCATTTGACCCTTAATAAAACTTACTACGGATGGTAGTTTCAACATGTTGTAAAGCTTTCTATTAACTTTCTAGAAGCTACATTGTTACATTAGTTACCTAAGCAGTTCTCTGTATACAGAACAACGTGATTCAGTAATATTTTTGAAAAACCTTGTACATAATGCTTAAAAACGATATACCTTTATAATTATCACATTTTGTCTTGTCCTTTTTTTTAAAAAAATATTAGTTTGATGATTGCCTTATAATATATATTATTTATGCTTATTTGTTCAAATTCAAATTTGGTTCCTTTGAATTTTTATTATAAATTAGAAGCTTATAATATTAAATAGACTAGTTTTACTATATTTTTACTTGTAATAGAAATATTATTTAGTTATAAAATAACGGTAATTTAAGTATTTTATTGCAATTATTTAATATTATATCATGTGATACATCTAAATTTTTATTGTTTGTAGATAATTTGTTTTCAAGAAGTTCAAGAATCTCATTTGAATTGGTTTTCTTACAATTTATCAAATTTAGGTAAATTATTTAACTCTCACATTTATATAAAAAATCATTGTACTTATATGTTGTAGTTGTTTTACATTTTATTATTTTATTTTAGGTTATAATGGAGTGTATAAAAAACGAACTCATGATCATTGTGATGGTTGTGCAATTTATTATAGAAATAATAAGTTTATCCTTAAAGAAAAGGTCACTGTAGAATATAACCAACCCGGAGTGAATATATTAGATCGTCATAATGTTGGTATTGTATTGAGATTGTCTCCACGACATAATGATGAAGCTAGTTTTGTTGTTTCAACTACACACATTTTATACAACAAAAAAAGACATGATGTTAAGTTAGCTCAAGTACATTTACTACTTGCCGAAATTGAACGTGTTTCTTATAAAGGAGAAAAAAAGTAATTCAAGTTTTCCAGGTTTATGTTTTTTTATTACTGTTTTATAATATTACTAGAGTTGATGATACTAATGTTCCTGTTTATTATCCAATCATATTGACTGGTGATTTTAATTTGGAACCTAATACTGCTGTTTATGATTTTTTAATCAATGGCACGTTATACTACAGTAATTTACAAAGACCAACGCTTTGGTCTTTAAATTATCAAAGCACTAGACCTAGCATGGGAAATGAACTTATTCCAAAAAGTTTAGGTATAACTGAAAATAGCCAACATGCGAATATTTTAGATTTAAGAAAAACAAATAATCATAAACGTCAAACAAATGACAGTCTTTATTCAGAGGTAATTTCAAAACTATAAAATTATAATACAATTCATTTAAAATTCCGTGTAAATCATGTATATATTTGGTTAATTCCAGCTATATCATAGTGAAAGAAAAAACAATCAAGTACCAACTCAGTCATCAGATTTTAAGTATGTTAAATGTTTATATTTGTTTATATTTTTTATTATTCAAATACATTTTTAGATGTGGGACTGGAAACATATACCACAACTTTAAATTTTCTTCGGTTTACAACAATACAAGTTGTTCTACTTATCATGACCGCTGGACTATTGTTGATTATATATTTTATACGTAAGATTTTTTTTTATAAATGAACAAGTATTTATATTAATTAATTTAATACTTACAATTTACATCCAATTTTAGAAACACAGATATAAATTTAAGAACTTATATGAAACTTCCCAACATTGCTGAATGCCAACGAATACCAGCAATGCCAAACAGAGTATGTCCATCAGATCACATGCCTCTGTTTGCTATATTTAACTATTTAATTGACTAACAAATAAAATATCTTTTGTGTTTAATTTGTTTTTTTTTAAATTTTACCACTGATTATAAAGTAGATTATTATAATCTATTAAAATTCTACAAATAAGGTTAATGTGTTTAAATTATTTCTTAAATAACTTGAAAAATTAAAAAACTAACCTAACCTGAAGTTAAATATGACACCTTATGCGGATAGTTAAGGGAAATTGAAGTTAAAAAGCACTAATAGAAAAAAAAAACAATTTTTTCAAAAGTAACTAGGTATTCAAAATAAAGTCATTATTTCTGCTAGTGTGAATGTAAGTATGTTAATTGCAAATGAGGGAAAACTATTTACAGATGCAGAATTTATTTAAAAAGAAGGAAGACGCTTCTATGCTTGAAAATCAAATTTGGATTTCTGAACTGTTTTTTTGTGTTGATGTCTCAAAGTATATAAATTAAATCAACATAAAACTACAAGGTAAAAATCAATTTATTCTTGATATGTTTTCTCATATTAAATCTTTTGAAATAAAGTTTAAACTATTACGGTCTCGCATTAAAAAAAACGAACTAACACATTTTCCAAATTGTAAAAATCTTTTTGAATCATCAAAATTTCCATTATCAACAGTTAAATTTGTTGAAGTTATTTCGATACTTCAACAGGAATTTAGTAATCGATTTTAAGATTTCAAACTAAATTTACAATAGTTTTAATTACTAATCAAACCGTTTAATATTGATGTTGACGATATGCCGGTTGAGGAAATAACAGATTTTCAGTCACAAGATATCCTAAAAAACTGATTCAAAACATCGCCTTTACTTTTTTTCGCTGAACTTCCTTATTCATTTTCAAAAATTAAAAATGTAACTGTAAAATACTTCAGTAGGTATGTTGTGATCCACTTACGTATGTGGACAGGCCTTTTCTCACATGAAAAAAATTTAAAACCAATACTGATCACGTATAACTGATGATCATCTCCACCATGTTCTTTGAGCAGGCACAAGTAATTTCAATGTGGAAATGGAAGCATTTTTAGTATTTTTACATAATAAATAATTTAAGAATAAAATATTTTCATTTTTGTTTGGCCCGCCAACTTTTTTTAATTTGTAAATATGGCCCGAGAGTCTAAAAAGGTTGTCGACCACTGCTATAGCCGATAGTTAAATTGAAAGTCAAATAAATGCGAATCTCCAATTGAGCGATAATGACGATATTAATTCTGAAAAAAGTAGAAGTGCACATTAAATTTTGTATAAATATCAATAAGTGATGATTAATGAATTATATAATATAAGTAATAAAAAAAAAAATGTATTTATCATTATATGTTTATAGATAGATCATAGATATAAATATATACCTAAAAGGTTTTAAAAGTATTTTCGCCTTGGACTTTGCAAATCCTAAGGTCGGCCCTGACAATGAGACAGTATGTAATTATATAAGTATTAAGTATAGTTTTCTATTAAAAACAAATGTATTTCTATGTATAACATACATACATATGATACCTACATCACAATTGCAAATTGGTAGAACGACTAAATATTAATTTGATGAATAAGGTCTAAAATAATTCTTGTATTATGTATTTTTTAAATTTTATCATATAATTTAGATAATTTTATCATTATTGACATTTGTGTACTCAATTGCAGTCAACATATAATTGTTTGTGTGTTTTTGTGTACTTTAATGGTGTGTTAAATCGTAACTAAATGAACAAACAAAAAAATTTCATAATTAAAGGAGCCAGTGGTGGTTATACATGATGTTCAAGGAATGGAGAAAATAAAGCTAACCCTACACCTCATAGCATTTTACATATGTACACACATGTAATATAAAATATACATTAATATATTAAAAGAAAGATATAAATGTATAGACTTATAAAATTTATCTTATAATAATTATATAAAATTTGCAGATAGGTATTGTTGGACCAGCGATATACTAAATGAATAAAACCAAACCCAAGGAGGGGGTGCTCCACCTATTGCTCCCTCCCTTATAACCACCACGAGAAGAAGCCAATGTAATTTTTTGTTTAAAAAAACGTTAATTATCTCTCTAATAAGTATTCATTCGTACCACATATTTTTGGTATAAGAATTTCATGTACATGATTTGTTTAGATATGCCTCTATATCCAAGCCAGGAATCTGAATGAACTGTAATAATGATACGAGATTCCTAGCTATAGGTAGAACACAAGACATTGGTCAACCGCATATTGGGAGATAGCCTGGGAAATGTAACTGTTAAGAAACTTTGAAATTGTACGCATTCATATTTAAACACGATTTTATTGAGATAATTAAAATTCAAAAAAACGCTTCACAAAGCATAGAAGTTATTTTTAGCCTACGCCGCTACCCTACTCTTACTATACATGAGGTCTATGCACACAGCTAAAATTTTACAATAATATTTCACTTTAGATATTGAAAGTTAGATAGGTACCTCACGTCAGAGTAAAATTAAATAAAAAGCCAAGTTAGGAAGTCCCACAACTCAACGAATCTACAACAAGCTTTCAAAGTCTATCAATCCTATAATAAACAAAAAATCTACTGACGCAGAAACGGGAAAATACTTCCTAAAGCAGTGGTTTTCAAACTTTTACTAAACACGGCGCACCGTACTCTTCGAAAAATATTCACGGCACACTGACTTTTTTTTTAAGATTAACAAAATTATTTTGAATTATAATTATATACATTTAATTAGAAATGTGTGCTTAATGGGCTAACAAATTTATTAATTATAATTACATTGTATTAGTTATTAAATTTATTTATAAAAAAATAGTGTAGTTTATACATGCATTTAATGAGAAATATGTGCCTGATGGGCGTTAAAAATATTTTTAATTTTTGGACGAATAGTTGACAGACATATCCTCATTCCTTCATCCACTGAATTTAGTTATTCTCGTTTTTTATTTTTATATTCGTAAGTGCTGAAAACCCCTGTTTAGAGATATGAAGTTGAGAACGGCAAAAGAATAGTCAATGCTTTTATAGATATTTCTGGATATTCTTCAGAAACATATATCCAGAATTTATTAAGTGTGATTGCATTGTTCGATCATTTTTAATTGAACAGAGATTTTCTTCTTCAGCAAGTTTTAAATCAACCAAGTCCCTAATAAACACTTTGAAAGGGTCTCGTACCCAGACGTAATTTAAAATATTAATACTTGGAAAATATTTATTCATTTTTACTTCCAACAGTACGATAGACTCGACTATTAATGATAAAATGTTGTCATCCGCAACTAGCAAAGCAGTACGTGGAAACATAATTATTATTACCTTGATTAACTTTAGTTTTCCATAGATTAAATTTTTCCGTGAAAGCCATTATTTTGTCTGAAGATGTTAACATATTTTCATTGCAACCTTGCATATTTGAATTTAGTTTATTGAGATGCTCAAACAAATCAGTTAAGAAAGGATAACTTTGTCCGCCGCATTTCATCCTCAAGAAAGTTTAATTCGGATTCTTCCATGGGTAAAAATACAAGTAAATCCTCTCTCAAAATATAAAGTCATGATAAAATATTGCCCCTAGGGAGCTATCTTACTGCCTTTGTATTATCAAATAAAGGAATTTTCAATATTTCTTATTCAGCTTCTATTCCAAAAAATATTTTTACAATTTCACGGCAAGCAGGTATAAATAATAGCCCATCTATATATTATATTAGCATATGGCATCGGCTTAACACAAAAATAAATATATAAATAAATGAATAAATGAAAATAATATATATATGTAACAAATAAAAAGTACAGAAAAATTCTTCGTAAGTAAAAATAACAATTACAGTCGAACATCCAAGTTGGCTAACCATTCAGCTGCAGCACTTCCACCTAAATGAATACCCAGCACCCTCTTGTTTATTTCCTTAGAGGGGCAGGAGTCTACAATATATCCCACCGTCTGAAGCTCTCCGCAATCACAAAGCCGAGACTCAGTCATTACCCACTTATGAAGCAGGTAATTACACCTACCCTGTTCAGTCTTAATTCTATTAGTTGTTGTCCAGATCGTGCGTGGAAGTTCGAAATCTGGTAGTTTCTTAGTGGGATCTTTGATAAGTACTGAGTTGTTGACTGAGGCTTCCGTTCACTGCATTAACTACCGTCTCTCCGTGCCCAATTTAGTATCAAGAAATTCCCAGACTGGGTTTCTTGATTTCAGTCTTTTATATGGGTGATTTAAGATATCTGCGTGAGCTGGGAGGTTAGGGTTTGCTTTAATCTTAAGTATTAGGGATATTTTATTTTAAATTAGTATTTGTTCACCTATTGCATGTGGTTTCATTGTTTTAGCCACAAGCTCTGCAACTACATAACTTGCTTCTTGAGATTTATTAGAAATCTTCACAATTTTTGTCATATTTTTACTTTGTTGAGATTGTGAATTTAATAAACGTTGAAAATATGTAATATTTTTGTTGATCAAATGTGAATGCTTAAAAAACAAATTATGTTTAAGTTTACTGGGCACTATTGGTTTATTTGACCTTAAACCGTCCCAGTATATTTATGAAGTTCATTGGAGTACCTTGTACAATTTTTATGGGGTGGAGGAACTCTATTTTATGTTGATATATACTTAAAGACCAGACTACTTAATCTGCATCATGATGTATTATGATGAAAAATGCGAATGAACAAATACATTTTGATTAATTCATTAAGTTTTTTTTTTTAGTTTTTTTCATAGTTCAAAAAATTGATCTTGATCAAATGTGAATTCTTACAAATCTAAAATGCCTTTTCTTAAATATTTTTCTAATAAAAATAAAAAATACCAAGAGGGGCATTGCTCCGTTAGATTTTTAGAGAGGGAAGTTGCTTATTCTCGCACCCCCCCCCCAGCTTACGCCTGTGATTAAGTTTAAATTTTTTATCATTATGACAAATTCTGACTAGTCCCTTGATTTTCATTACAAACGGTTTCTACTATTTATATAAGAACTGTATAAGAATTGTAAATTTTTTCGTATAATCCATTATATATATATTATTTAAATTGGTTTAAAAATATTCCTCAATATTACGATTATATCAAGTACTGCATTCCTAACCATCAGTATTTAAAAAGTAACGATATTAATTATCTTTGTAATTTGCTTGAGATATTATGCGTTATGCAGTATATTAATGATTTAAAATCAATTACATTAATATTTTATTATTGAATGTAACATTACGTTAAAGCAGTTCATTCTTTTGTAGTGATTAATATCATATCTAAAGTCATTTTTACACATATTTAAATACTTTTTACCGGGTAAAATTAATTTTTGTTCCATGACTGTATTTTGTTGACTCCTAGGTGGTGGTAATCATACCAAAATAGTGCCGACTTATCGTTCATCTCTTTTTTTGTTCTGTTGTGTCGCCCAAAGGCTCAGTACTTTTTTTTGAATTAAAAAGTTTCCTTGTATCCTTATATTTCCAATTTTTAACTTATATTTTTAAGTAGTATAGTTAATTTTGTTATTCGTTCTGTGAACAGAGTAAGTAATTTATATTTTGTAATTTTTATTTTGGGTCTTGAGAAGCTGATAGTCTACACAAAACAACTCACGAGGTTTTTTAGGTTAAATTCTGTTAACAGGATGTCATCAATATTTTAGTTACTCACGACGGAATTGTTCTTCATACCATTTCATCTCGGTGTAATTAATATTTCTTTGTTTTTTAGTTCTATTTTGAAAAATGGCTGATATCGAAGATACTCACTTTGACACTGGAGACTCTGGTGCTTCTACAACGTACCCTATGCAATGTTCGGCTTTACGAAAGAATGGTTTTGTCATGTTGAAAGTAATACTTTTTTTAAGTTTAATTGTGAACTTTTTGGTAGTTTGAAATAATATTTTAAAATTTTTCTTCTAATATTTGAATTAAAATTTTATAGTATAAATACATTTTTTTAATATATTAAGTACCTTATATGTTGTATAAATTATTTATATTAACTTTTTTAGTTGCTTACCATTAAAAAAAAAAAATACATTTGAATTGATAATCATTATAAGATTTAAATTTATAATAATGGTAACTATTACAAAACTAAAAAAGTTGATGATATTTATGTGATAATGCTTAATATTTTTGTGTATTTATATACTTCTGACTTTATTATAATATGACTTATTAATTTTAGTATTAAGATTGATGTATGTATAATGTAAATTATAGAGTTAAAATAACGAGTAATCAATAGTGCTTGTAAATTAATATCTTAATTCTTTAAAAATCTTATTTAATTTAATAATTGGAAACTATTATATAACAAATATATATGTTTTAATTAAATTATTGTTGATAAAATTGTTTAGGCTCGTCCATGCAAAATTGTGGATATGTCTACATCAAAGACTGGTAAGCATGGACATGCCAAGGTTCATTTAGTTGGCCTAGATATTTTTTCTGGTAAGAAGTATGAAGATATATGCCCGTCCACCCACAATATGGATGTTCCATTTGTAAAACGTGAAGATTATCAGGTAATTGATAAAGGCGATTTATTTATTATTATTCTTTCTAATATGATATGTAGAACTCAGTTTTTACAGCAAATGCTTCTTTTTTTATATATGAGATAGAATTCTAATTTTTAAATATAAATTAATTTCATGTCATTCAGTTTCCAAATCAAATTTATTTTTGTTTTTTTTTGGTAAATTTTTTTTTTGCTTTTTTATTGCTTTTCCATTTATTCCAACTGTGGAATTTTTATACTTACGTGTATGTTTATTATATTATAGTAATAAAAAAAATTGTATTTAATCAATAAGAAATATGTAAACCCAGAATACGGATTAAATGGTTGTATTGAATTATTATTTTTTTCGGCTTAGTTGTTAAATTTATTAAACATATAGATTATCGATCTGCAAACAGTTAGATTACTGATAAAATGTATAAATATTGTCTTAGATGCAGAAAATATGTTAAACTAAGCTAATGGAGATATTGCAACTGCAATTTTGGGTTAACTTAATCATATTCTTATGAAAAACAAAGGCTGGAAACAATTTATAGACATTAATGATATACTGGTGGCATTTAATCAAACAAAATTAATTATCATAGGTTAGATTTAAATGAAACCTCTTGCATAAAGTATTTACCGATACCTTCAGTGGATATGAAGCATTTGTTTATTTATTTTGGGTTTTATACTTTGATTTTGTATATTTAAATTATTTTTGTTAATGTTTAACATCCCAATTCTAATTTTAAAATAAAATTCATTAGTTTTAAATTCCAAAATCTGTGACCATTATTATTAATTTTAAATAATTTAATTACTTAGTAATTGTATTACTTTTATATCAAATTCTATTTATTAATAAGTTTTTTATCTAAATTTTTTATCTAAGGTTAAAATGTCTAACATAATATTTTAGAATATAAAGTTTAATTATTGCCTGAAGAATATACATAAATAAAATAAATTAATAATATATCTGGTATTAATTTTTTTTAAATAAGATCTTTTTTTAATTAATGTTTTTAATATTTTTATTGGTTTAGTGTATTGGATTAATATATATTCAATAATACCTTAATTTTTTTTTTTGTCATTACAAAATTAAATAAACGTGTAGTTTTAATGGAAATCACTTAACATTATGTTAACATTTGTATTTATAATATTATATTTATATTCTTAAGTTAAAAATAAATTTTTTAATTTTAAGTTTTGTTAAATAAAAACTTAAACACCAATAGCTCTCTACTTAAAGTTTTTAATTAATTTCATTAGTTGACTGACATATCTGATGATGGCTATTTGTGTTTGATGTCTGACAATGGTGATTTGCGTGAAGACTTGAAGATTCCTGAAGGTGATATTGGTGTACAATTGAAAAATGAATATGACAATGGAAAAGAGCTTTTGGTGAGTTAAAGAAAAACATTAAACATTGTTTTATAACATAGCATATATTATATATATCATTGGTTATAAATGTTGTAATAAATATTAATAATACAATCAATACTTATAATCTTGATAGTATTATTTATTGATTTTTATTTAATTTTATATTTTAGTGTACTGTTTTGAAATCCTGTGGTGAAGAATGTGTAATTGCCATTAAAACAAACACTGCTTTGGATAAATAATGCTTGCAGATGACTAATATGTCGGATGAGCAGAACATTTCTTTTAATATTTTTTTTTTTTCTTAGTGGCTAAACAATTTTCAAATTCTTTTTTTTAATACTTAAACCCTATAAGAACATTCATTACTTGTAAACTGTTACTAATTATGTAATTAAACAATCTCATCAGTTTTTAAATTTTAACCCATAATTGGAGAGAAAAAAATTATGGTATTTATATTTAGGAAAAATAATTATTATTTTTACTTTTTAAAAGTTGTTAAAGTATGAACAATGGGTTGAATCAGATTTTGAAATATAAATAGCTAAGTCACTAATGTTAAATTGTTGAATTGTAGTTACATTTGATCATTGTTTATCACTCTCCTTTTCCTTCCTTGTATGATATGATAAGAAGATTTAAAATAGTGTAAAAGAAAATTTATTTTGTTTAATATTAATGATAAGTAAAAATTTGGTAAGAATTGCAATAATGTAAAAATCAATATTTGTAGAATATTAAATTAAATTAACATTTTATAAATATTTAATAAGTTATTAATATGTTCATCGTATTGTTAACTTATTAAATATTTTTAATATGCTTCTCGTTTCTCAAACTTTAATGGTAAATAAACTTAATCCTGTATGAAAATAGATTACTATTAATTTTAATAGTTTTTTTTTAAGAGCCGGATTACAATTATAATTTTGTTTTTATAGTGTACTATTTTATTTATCAAACATGGTATTTGAATTTTAAAATTTTGGTAATTATTATACTTAAAAATTAAATATTTTCAATTAATTATTTATTAATATTTATAATTTATAAAAATTAATTAATATTTCGCAATTAAAATATATTTAATGTGTTAATTTAAAATTTCTGTTGATCATTTATCTTTTAATAACATTTTTTATTTCTATAGGCTTAATATTTTGGGCATAATATACAAGAATACAAAAATATAATGAACTTCAAGAATATTATTCTTGTTGGAATACATATTGTATTGTGATTACTAATTAACTATTATTTTTTAAATTGATTATTAATGTTCTCTGATAATTAATTGTTAGTATAGTTAATATGATATGCAATTTTCTTTTAGCTTTTGTTGGCGAGTTCTAATCTTTTGTAATATGTTTTTATCTTTCACAAATGCAATGGTGAGTACAAATCTATAATTAATTAAAATATTTAACACTTTGTTCTTAAATATTATTAATTGAAGTATACTTTTATGTTCAAATATAAGTAATGGAAATAGTCCAGAAATAGTTGGTGTGTTGTCTAACGGGTTGTATAATAAATATTAAACTTAAATAATTACAAAAACCATGATATTGTTTTATTGATTTTGGATAATGATGTTGTTTTAGTTACTTCTGTACAATATAATTGAAATTTAATCAAATAAATGTTACTTTAATAGATAATAATGTTACAAATATTAAATTCTAACTATCAAATTAAAACTACTCTGTTAAAATATCAATATTTAACACAAAATACTTTTTGTTTTCATATTTAATGAGTAAAAGTTTACAGGTTAAATCATTTAATTCTAATAATGTATTGCTAAATAACCAATAGAAAACTGACTATATTTATAAAGTATTTATTATTAATAACAACCTGAGAGCAAGAGTAAAGTTTCAGTTAGTAATAACTAAGTCAGTGGCAAAGTTTTTGTTCTAGATTAGGGAACAAAAAATTTGAAATATAAACGTTGAATGGTAAAATATAGTAGATTATATACACACTATTTCTATTAATAATTATTTATAATAAATTTGTCAAGAAAATCTAAAACCTGCACCTAGCTTTTGTTTTTCGGAGACCAGTTTATATAATCGCAATATTGATATCAATTTAATATATGGTATGAAAACACAATGATGTACTAATGCGTTTTTCAACTAATGTTGGTACATCATTACGCATCATAAGAATAATGAGATAAGGTAAGTGCGTATGCTTAGCGATAACCAATCTAGAGATAAATAGGTATAGGTATCTTGAGATATTCTTGATTAAATTGTTCGTGAGACATGTCTCTTAGATGCTTGGACGCGGAACTCCTTATCGTCACGCACCACATCACACGGCCATAGGTATGAAACATACTACCTACGTGTTTTAACGGATTAACTTCTAACGGGCACTTGTTGCTTTGTCGTCGAAATAAAAACCTGTGAATCCTTATTGTACAATATATGTGTGATTCTTTTTAAAAGTTACATTAAATAATTCTGTCTAGTGGTATTGTATTGAATCGGGGTGTTTTTAAATAGTTCGGGACTATTAAAATACACTTTTTTTATAATTTTACATTTCTTAACCCTTTTATTTTGTGCATTCGTAATACAACTTTCATTTTTTTTAATAGCAACACCTACTTTCAAAATTTTAACTCGTCATTCAATCAATTTTGGTTTTACAGCTATGATATAAAAGGACAAATTTGACATAAGAAAATCAGTCTATCCATGTCTATTGTTGAAAGTAGGTATTGCTGTTTAAAAAAATGCAAGTTGTATTCATAAATAACAGAGTATTCTATCATCAAAGGTTGTATTGCGCATGCTCAAAATAAAAATCGCAAGATCTAAGTGGGTAGCTTTGACCTCGCAACGAGATAAGTCTGTTTGGGTCCTTCTCACGCAGCAGTGGGATTGTTTCTCCTGAAGTGTAACAAGTTGCGCCATCTTGTAACCATACAAGAATAGCTACTGAACTCAGTAATTTTCTTTGGGCTTATTTGGACCAAATGAACATAAAAAATGCTTGGTTTCAACTTGTCACACTTCAAGAAAAACAATCACTCTGCTGCGTGAGAAGTTCCTGAAAAGATTAACCTCATTGCGTGGAGTTCAAAGCTATCTACTTCGATCTTGCGACGTGACGCCATGTGAAAATGACAATACAGTGTCTTTATCTATCACTTTAGCGTCACCGATAGCTATGGATTCCACAATTATATAGGTCATTTTCGATTTCTTATACATAGTGCTCCTTCTCCAACATAATTTTTTCCAAATCATAATTCAAACGTGTACTAAGATTTCTTCAACCATTCGATAACTATGTACTAATTTTAAAATATATATATATATATGTAGATTCGTTGAAATATATTTATACCAATTTTTGATTTCTATAAAACTTTATCTCGTTGTATACATATATTATTTAATATTTAATATTACTATTATTTATTATTAAACAACAATTAGAAGTTGAGGCTTTATCCCCATGCCATTAAATTAATTTAAATAATTTAATTATTATTATTAGTTATAATCACTAAGAGCTGTTATGTTAGAAGATAAAAGCTGAATTGAATTTAAAAATATCCCAATAACTGAAAATAATAAATTTATACAATATAAAACGATAATTAATCTGGAGGAATGTAATAGTAATTTTCGGGCGCCTATGCTCCACAGCAAAATTAATAGACATCGAGTAAAAACGTATATTCATAAATAGGGCAGTGAAGTTGCTGAATTTGCATGCTTTTTTTAAATGCTTATATTTATTGCTGAGTGAGCTTAAAATATGTTTCGTTAAACTTTTAATTTAAATTAAAAAAAAATTATATTGCAATAAATGTAAATACATTTTTTTAATTTTATTGTAATTTTAACTATTTTTCATAATTTTCGTTTACATTTAAAATTATATAACTTAATATATTTTTTGTCTGATAATTCTATGGAAACCAACTTGATATTTATTTATTCCAATTATTGTTTCATACTAGCAGAAATTACTAAACTCGCACTCAACATGTTCCAATTATCGAAGCTTTATCCATAGTTAAAAATGTTGAAACTAAAATAGAAAAAATTATGGGACAAAATGGAGTATTAATAAACTAGAAATTCAAAACTATTTTACAAAAAAATTAAGGATATCAGACAATTGTTCGTATATCAAAAATTATAAGCGGAGAAATACCGTCAATGGAGGGCTCGTCAGAAGACTCGATCAGCAATGACTTAATCTAGTTCAAGTACACGACAATAACAACTAGGTACTGACGCAAAAAGAAGTTTCTCCAGATACAAAAATTTGTTGTGTGATAACATTCGATTTTGAAAACTTAAAAAAATCATTTTAGTGCAATGCAATAATGTTAGCAATATTCATATTTAATTTTAATTATAATTATGTATTAATATATTTGATTTTATTGATTATAATAAAATTTTTTCATTGCAATTTTTAATATATTTTAATGCAATAATTGTACTGTCCTATTCATAAGTATATAAATACATAGAAAACAAACCATTGGCATTCGGTAGATTTGAAATATATTATATTTATCTCATTATATTATAATTATATTTTTATATATTTTATATTTATAAAACCCAATGTCAAATGGCATCTGGACAGTATCATAATTTCGTCTTCTTTGGTAAAAATGTTTTCTTTTAATTATATTTGTACCTACTACTGTTAATCTGTTAACAATTAAAGAGGCGAATGCTGGCCAATATTGATGTAAGGAGTTTATAAATAAACAAATTTTCTGATTCCTAAAACAAAATCTTACAATATTAAGATTTCTTAATTTATTGATGATTGCCGACCTTATAGATAATACCAATAAGCCATTCATAATTTGGGGTACTGCACACCCCTTAACGCTGACCCTGATAATACACACAAAATCATGCCATTAGTTGTATAATAACCCAAATCAACCCACTTAAGCCGTGTACACACTGGAACTTTTAAATGTAACATACCTAAAGGCCGGTTTACATTTATCAAAGTAGTCACGTCCGTGAACTACGAATCAGTGTAACTTTGATTCGAGCACTGACGACATTGTCTACACTATTATATTTTGTCTGTCCAAGTAAATTTGTCAGTAGCCAAAATGGAACCATTTTTGCCTTTGCTTCATTTACACCAAAATTCTCTATGGCCATTTCATTGCATATATTTTCAAGCGCTATTTATCTAGCGTGTTTGTTTTTATATTCAGATATACTTATATTCCACAGAACTTCATGGCTTTCGTACAAATGAATAAATTTCATAGTTTTGTCCTCAGACCATTTTTTTTCTGCCATTATAATATTATGTACGAACTTATATTATAAATTTAATATTTTAAACAACAAAACATTTTAATAATATATTTAACTAATTGCTCAATTCACTGAATGAATACAAGTCATATTAAAATATTCTCGTCACGTACGAGAATTTTGATACATGTCCATGCCGGCAAAAATCGGACAACACGACTTGTACGATCTTGTACACGTACGTGTAGTGTGTTTATATTATCAAAGTAGAATCCGTGCCACTAATT